GTTCTCGCTAGAACTATCCTCGACGTCGTCCTCCCTGACTAGTTTCCCAAACCGAACAACCTTTTCCACATGCATGCTGGAAAAGTCGAATCTCGGCACAAGGAATCTAGCCTGGCGAGCAGCCTTGAGGAAACCTCTTTTATGCTCCACCAAGAGGGAACGCTCAACTTCCTCAAGTCTCTACTTCAATGCTGCCTTCTCGGCCTCCAACGCCAAGAGATCTTTCCTCTAAGCAACTATCTCATCTTCCTTGCTGACACGAATGACCTCGTCGCGGAGACACTCCTCAGTCATCGACACCAGCTCGCTCCTCAAAAACGATACCTCACCCTCCAAAGAGCGAACCTAGCCTGCGTAACCCTCATTGGAGCGCAGGGCGGCCTCCAATGACTCCTGAGCCTTGACAAGGTCCCCCCTCGTTGCTCGGAGCTCGGCCCCCTACAGCTTCGCTTCACCAAGAGCGGCAGTCAAAATCCTATTCTCCTCCTACAGGGGTTGAACTCGACTCTTCAGTTTCGCCAGATCCTCCTGCTGTTTGGACCACTTGTGTTTCCAATAATCCACAATGGTCGTTCCCCTCTGCAGGAAGATCTGAGCAGCATCAAAGCTCCCCATCGGCTCGGCTGACTCAATCATTACCTGGTCAGCCGTGCTCAATGACCCCTTGGGGAAAAGCTTCTCCGGAGTCGCCGCAGCACTCCACAAAGAGTCTACTTCCTCTGATGCACTCAGGTGCTCCAACCGCACCGGGGCACCCTCCCGCGCATAGCGATATGCAAGATACGAGCGCTTCGGGGGTCCCCTCGCCATCGGAGCAGAAGTTGGAACCTCGGAGCCAGGCCCTTTACCGCGAGTGTTGGTCGATGTAAAGACAGAGGCACCCGGCCCTGCACCAGAAACATCAACCCTAGTCGCCCCCGACCTCGGAGTCTCTGAAACTCCGGCGACCTTGCTCGCTTGACAAAAAAAAAATATAAACCTCTACATCAGAAAACAACCAGAGAAACAAAACAAAGAGTCACAAACATACACTACTCACCTCAGTAGCCTGGACGACCTGCCTAACAACCTGGGAAGCCGTCTCGGTGGCAGCCCCCACCTGTAACCAACAACCCCAGGTCAGAAAAACCGAGAAGCAACATACAGAACAAAAGAAGGGACACTCAGGCAGGACGCTCACCACAGCAGGTTGGGCAAGAGTTTCAGTGGTCGCCAGTATCTCCTCGGTAGCCACCCGAGCACCTTCCTCAGGCGGAGGACTCCCGGTCAAGTCCACCGCCTCGACATCGGCAGAGTCGGAGGTAACCTCCTCCGTTCCGCGAAAGGCAGAGGTAGCCCCGACCTCGGGCACATCCCTCTTCCTTTTTCGGTTAAGCTTCAAGGGGGGAACTTCCTCCTCTTGGGGCTCAGAAACCCTGAGCTCGGTAACATTATAGCGGTGCTTCAACTCACGCCACAAGTTCTTCCCTAGAATACTTGCAAACAAAAAACAGAGAACATCAACGAAGGCAAGTTATACGAACCCTAACAAGTCACTGAAACACAAGACACTCACTCTCCAAACCCCTCTCCTTGTGCACCAAGCACTGCAACGACAAGATGAGTTTACAATCCAGAGGTCGGGGAAGTGCCTTAAGATTCTCAATGGCGGCTACCTCCGGAGCTGTCAATCGCGAGGGGTCCACACCGTTAAACCCAGACGGGTCAGGACACCAATAGAAGGGGAACCTCGGCAGCCCGCCAAAATAGAAACCCCCATCCTCTAAAGGGTCGACGCCAACCATGGCGACCCGAAAGAACTCTTGCCTGTAATTCTTGTAAGACTGGGAGTAAAGGGTAAATAAACCCCCATCCTTACCCTCGTTCAAAGAAAGAACGCCATAAGGCGGAGCACCTAACTTCAACTGATAGAAGTGGAGGAATACCCGAAGGGATACCTCTATCCCCAAAACTGTACAAAGGACTTGAAAAGCCCGCAAAAAGCCCCAACTATTGGGATGTATTTGGCTAGGAGCCGCATTGACATAATTTAAAAAATCACACTCAAACGGGGTGAAAGGAAGACGAACACCCAGGTCCCTAAAAAAACACTGGTAAACATAAAAATAAGGAGGGTCAGTAGACTTCCCCATGAACACACCCTCGCCAGTCGGACAGGGTTCCAGCCGGATCATTCGGGAAAAAGAGGGGTCACAAACCCTGTGCGTTCTCCAAACCGCGTTAACCTCTAGAAAAGACTGGAACACACTCTCGACCTTGGCCATTTCGCGCTTGACCCAGTCGTAACCAAGAACGCCCAGCTCCAGATCCTTGGGCGAGGGCGGGTCCATACTCTCGGCAGCGGCTCTCCCAGTAACCACAACCTTGTCGTGCGCCCTACCCCTAGCAAGCGCAAAAGAACTAGCACCGCGACCACCAGCCATTAAAGAAAGAGAAAGGCTTGGAAGAAAGCCGGGAACGAAGAAGGAGACGGAGAAGATGGAGACGGAGGACAAACGAAAGCGAGGGAAAAGAAGCGCGCAAGAAGTTGAAACAACGAAAAACAAGCAAAGTGAAAAAGGAAGAAGCACGAGGAAGAGAAAAGGGGTTTCCCCCAAATTCAAAACAGACGCGCCACGTGTCAGCCCAGGGACACGTCTGATGGCGCAATAAATTAAAAATCATCATGACGAACACGATTCATCATTACGTAACCGTCACTGGCACGTTTCCGAAAATGACAACAAGCATGCGTGCGCGAGGGGTCACAGCCACCCGTTGAGCTCGGTATTAACTCCTCGACTTACGATCTTCGGAGCTCGGGGGGCTAGTGTACTATCCGTACGGTGAAGCCGAGCTCTAAACTCGACATCACCACACAAAAAGACCTCGGGCACGCGCTACCCAATGTCAGCTCGACATCTAAGTAGATCATAACTGATCTCGGAGAATCTCGCCCTAGACAAGATATGTTATTTAATCATATCTCATCTAATCTCAGGCCCAGGGCCCAGAACAACCCTAATTCACACTAAGGTACGTGCTTTACTTATACGAGACTAATACTCATACAAACCCTAACTTTAGCATCGAAGTCTCTTTTGCAGGTACCACCCCCATCTTGAAGCATCAACGTACCAACAAAGGAGGCTCACCGATCTTATTGGACGGATCATCCCTACCACCGATTTCTGGTAAGAACACACACACACACACACACACACATATATATATATATATATATATATATATATGTATATATCCCACACACATATATATATATATATATATATATATATATGTGTATATATATATATATATACATATATAATCTTTTTGACTGAAATAATAGATTAATTACATGGATAATCAATTATTTTGTTTTTAATAGATACGGAAACCAATCAAGAACAGTTTAATATATTATTTTGAGCAATAATCGATTTTCCATAAACTAGCTTTTGAAATAATTGGTTATTTTGCTAAATAATTGATTATAATAGTAATTGCTCCTTAGGTTACTGATAAACAGAGGAAATAATTGATTATTACTTAAGATAATCGATTATTTTAAGTGAAAACTTAATATCTTGATTTTTTTTATACTATTTCTATTTATAAATCAAATTTAACACTTATTTTAATCATCAATCATCATTTAGATAAAGATAAAATGCTAAGTTACTTATCAAGCACAAAACACACAAGCAACAAAATTTTAAACACACAAAACAAGATACAACTTGCACTCTTTTCTTTCGAGACGCTCAAAACATAAAACAAAATACAAGTTGCACTCACATCTTTCAAGAGGCTTAAGTTCAAAAGGTACCCCAAGTTGCATATGAGGGGGAGCCTTAATCTAAAGGTCTTTCTCTAGCTGGTGAGGATGACATTGAAGCCAAGAGCATCAACTTTCTTGATTCATCTCGTAACAACTTTGTACCACAGTTTCCAATCCTAGTGGAACATGTGCGTGCAAAATTTGATGTCACCTTGTCAATGGAGGTGATCTTAAATGTTAAACCTCTCAATGTTGACAATTCCATGGTGGAATTGGATTAGAGGGATTTAGAGTCATTTACCTTTATTGTGTCTCCCTCTAATCTAGTAGAGTTTGATGATTGTAGCATAGACTCTAAAGAAGCGCAAGAATGGAGTGCTTACAGGAGGAAATGTTAACATATGATGACTATACACCTCTTATCTATGACACCAATAAAAAGTTTGCCTCTTCATCTTTCAAGTGTACAAAGGCATGCATTTCCATAGTGAACCTAACATTGTTTTCACCCCACTACTGAGATATAGCCTTTTAGAAGGGAGATAAATTTGAACGGCCTTCCCTAGCTGGATGGTTAGACCATGCAAATTGTCAAGCAGTAGTAGAACAAAATGCAGAATCTTTTGACTTCAAGAGTTGCCATTGAAATGAGTACATAAGACACTTCTCACACTACAAGAAAAATTAGTATTATCTACGGAAAAAATCCGTAGATAATGATGAAAATCCGTAGATAACTGATAATTATCTACGGATTTTATCTACGGAAATAGAATATATCTACAGATGCGTTTATCTACGGAAATTTTTGTAGATAACTTACCTACAGAAATTTCCGTAGGTAACTTATCTATGGAAATTTCCGTAGATAACTTACCTACGGAAATTTCCTTAGATAACTCTTCATCAGGTTGTTCACAAGCTCAAATCAGGCTGGCCACAATTTGCGATGAACAATGTACCTACAGACAAATCAACTCAACTCGATTCTTTGTTATAAATCAAAATAATATACACAAATTCACAACAAAGTTTCTACTAACATTTGGGTTTACCAAATTATAACGTAAGTTGAAAATTAGAGAGACTGAGTCATCTATAGGCTATAACTATTAGTGTTATTAGGTCGTTGTTTTCTTAAGTTCCAATAATATAATTATCATCGCTTCTGAACCCAACCCAACCCATGCCCATGGTGGTCAACGGGAGGAGGTGAGGGTGGTCAATCCAAGTCAAAATGGGAAGCCGAAGCTACTCGGCCAACCCGAGCAACTACAAGCTTCTAGAAGAAGTAAGGTACAGAGCGAGCGCCACCGTGTACCGTGCAATCTACCTGCCATACAACTAGGGGTGTTCAAAGAACTATATTAAACTAAACTATTGCAAAAACTAAACTAAACTATAAAAAACTAAACTAATTTTTATAAAAACTAAACAAAACTATATTTTAAGTTTTAGTTTTAAAAACTAAACTATTATAAAAAGTAGTTTAGTGCACTATAAATCTAAATAAATAATTAATTTATAGGATTAAAAAAATTAATTTTTATTCATTAATTGAATAAAAATTTATATACCTTTCATAATTATTACTCTTTCAATATTTTTAATATAAATATTATAAAAATTAAAAAAATGTATTATATATATATATATGTATAAACTTATCTCTTTATTATCCAAATAATTTTATTCTTGATGCTAAAAAATATTATTATTTTAATAAAAATAATTTACAAATATTTCCTATAGATCTTTTTATGAAAAATAATCTACAAGAAATTTGTGCAAATTTTGCTACAATTTTAATAATCATAGAAAAATTTTCCATGGTCAAAATTTACATAAAATATTATAAAAATCTTATTTTGTTTCTTGCAAATTTTCTTGCAAAAATAAATTTGCAAGTAATATTTACTAAATGGTAGAAAAATTTTGCAAGAAACCTTCTTGCGATTTTTTTTGCAAGAAATTTCGCTGAAAATTTTCTTGCAAATTTTAAAATTCGTAAAAACATATTATTCACGAAATTATTACCTGTAAATAAAATTTCGCAAAAAAATTTGTAGGAACAACGATTCTTGCAAATTTTTATGAAAAATCGCATATAATAAAAAATTATAGTAGTATTAATTCATAATTAATATTAATGATTTGGTTGCTCAATTTAAAAATGTTAATTTTAATTTTTTTTAATATAGTTCAATTTAGTTTATAGTTAATAATAGTTTTATTTAGTTGATATTATAGTTTAATTCAAACTCCTAGAACTATAGTACACTAAAGTAGATAATAGTTTAGTGTAGTTTAGTCAATATTTATTTTAATTCAATTTAGTTTGATGAACTATTTATTATAGTTTAGTTTAGCTTTTCTTAGTTTAGTTCAATTTAACAATTTGAACACCCTTACATACAACGGAGGAGGTGGCAGTCAAGTGTCTGGATCTGGATCGATGCAACAGCAATCTGGAGGACATAAGGAGGGAGGCGCAGACCATGAGCCTCATCGACCACCCCAACGTCGTCAAGGCCTTCTGCTCCTTCGTCGTCGACAAGAGCCTCTGGGTCGTCATGGGCTTCATGGCGCAGGGCTCCTGCCTCCACCTCATGAAGGCCGCCTATCCCGAGGGATTCGAGGAGGACGCCATCGGATCTATCCTCAAGGACACTCTCAAGGCTCTTGACTATCTCCACCGACACTGCCACGTTCACCGCGATGTTAAGGCCGGCAATATTCTTCTCGATTCCAACGGCCAGGTCAAGCTTGCCGACTTCGGCGTCTCCGCTTGCATGTTCGACACCGGCGACCGCCAGCGCTCTAGGAACACCTTCGTCGGCACCCCCTGCTAGATGGCCGGAGCGGACTTTCTAGCGGCCTTCATCGCCAGCTGCTTACTCGGCGCCTTGCCGCCGGTGGACTTGCAAGAAGTTTGCTTTGTGCGAGCCATCGAGAAAAGATGTTTTGTGACGAACAACAAAGTTTAGTGCTTTTGCTTCTTTGATGGTGGTGGAAACGTTGGAGGGAGCGGTGTGGGATTTTGAAATTGCAGTGTGTTCGAGAACGGTGAGAGAGATGAATGGGGGAATATTGAGAGTTGATTTGTTGGGAAAATGAATGGGTGGTATTCGTTTGAGGGTGTGATAGTGCGCGGATTGGTGACGTGGCAGGGAGGAGTATGGAAGGCCGTTGATCTTGCGATAATGAAGGGCGGAGATTGAATTGCGTTACACGATGCGGATTGGTGTATTCTTGAAGAGGAAACAAAAAGAAATTTTGATATTTGGGCGGGTTCTGAAAATGGGGCTGCCAAATCAAAAACTTTGAAGTTTGAAACCCATGTCCTTAAACAATTATCCTACTCGATTAATATTAAATGAGATTAAACAATTATCCTACTCGATTAATATTAAATTTTGATATTTGAAGTTTGAAGTTTGAATTACCTACTCGATTTTGAATCCATTATTATAGTAGGTTCGATAATGATTTCCCACCCAATTATCCTGATGATTATTAAATGAGATTATTAATTTTTTTTAATTTAGTTATATATGTATTTTATTGATATAAATTGTCATTCAATCATAAATGATTTTATATAATGAGTTGATTAATACCTAAAATATTTTTTATTACGGCAATGTAATAAGCTTTGCAATGATCGTACATTAAATTAAATTAAATTAAATTTTATTATATTAAATATTTTCAGTTTTTTTGTTAATTATAAAATTTCAATAATTTTATAAAACATTAAGAAAGAAAAAAAAATAATAAATAATAGAAATAAAAAATTATTAAAATTACAATATAGAAATTCAAAAATTTAAGATAAAAAGACAAAAATATACTTAAAAAATAATTCAAATTAAAATATAGAAATTCAAATATTTTAAGTGAAAAGACAAAAATATACTTAAAAAATTATTAAAATTAAACTATTTAAATATATAATCATATTATTACAAATAAAATTAGAATATATAAAATAAAAATAAAATGAATAAATAATTTAAAAATTAAAAGAATAGAGCGAATAATTATTTTACAATAAATTAAAATGAAAAGATAATAAAATATGTTAATTGATGTTTCAAATAAAATGTATTACCTATGGAATTTATCTACGGGTAAAGTTATCTACGGAAATTTCCGTAGATAAGTTATCTACTGAAAAATTCATAGATAATTTATCTACGGAAATTTCCGTAGATAAGTTATCTACGGAAAAATCCGTAGATAAGTTACCTACGGAAAAATCCGTAAATAAGTTACCTACGAATTTTTCCGTAGATAAGTTATCTATGAAAATTTTCGTAGATAACTTATCTAATAAAATTTTTAAAAATATTTATTTTAAAATATTATAATAAATTAACTAAATTTTAAAATATATTTTAATCAAAAATATATTTTTTTGTCGATACGATAACTAAAAGTATTATGATAAATAATTAAATTAAAAAAATTAAATCTTATAATGATTATTTTTTTAATGATGCTAAATTAAATATTCTAATTATTTTACAATAAATTAAAATGAAACGATAATAAAATATGTTAATTGATATTTCAAATAAAATGTTTTACCTACGAAATTTATCTATGGGTGAAGTTATCTACGGAAATTTTCGTAGATAAGTTATCTACGGAAATTTCCGTAGATAACTTATCTACTAACAATTTTAAAAATATTTATTTTAAAATATTATAATGAATTAACTAAATTTTAAAATATATTTTAATCAAAAATATATTTTTTGGTCGATACGGTGACTAAAAGTATTATAATAAATAATTAAATTTTAAAAAAATTAAATCTTATAATGATTATTTTTTTAATGATGCTAAATTAAATATTTTAATTATTTTACAATAAATTAAAATGAAACGATAATAAAATATGTTAATTGATATTTCAAATAAAATGTTTTACCTATGAAATTTATCTATGGGTGAAGTTATCTACGAAAATTTTTGTAGATAAATTATCTACGAAAAAATCCATAGATAAGTTATCTACGGAAATTTCCGTAGATAACTAAATATTATCTACGGAAATAATTCCGTACGTAATATTCCGTAGATAACTAAAAATTATCTACGGAAAAAATTCCGTAGATAATATTTGGTAGATAACTAAACATTATCTACGGAAAAAATTCCATAGATAATATTTCGTAGATAATAATCATTTTCCTTTTAGTGTCACAATCATCCCTTTGTGCTTGGTGAGCAATATAGACCCTAGATGATTCATTCATGAACAAAATCCTACATGTAAGGCATTATCCCTAAGGTTGCAATTCACTCTGTCTATAAGGGCAAGGAGAAGCTACCACAATACGAGTTTGACAAACATCATGAGCATTATGCATGTCACCATACCTCATAAGACATTGATCTCTCTTACAGGTAGTAAGCTATATGTTCTTCCACCAACAAAAGGTAGACATTTCATTATCTATCTTATCCCTTCTAGGACCAAGCCCACAAGTCTCAACATTCTCTCTATTAAACGAAGATTATATCGCTACTATTCACCATATGATATCACTTTTCATGTCTTTTTGCTTAGGAATATAATATTTTTGTATACGAGAATGTTCAGGTTGCCAGCATCAAACCAATTAGGCCCCTCTACTTCACATGCTTCTTCACCACCAACAACTCCACATTTCCCTCCACTCACTATTGAATAGGATTGCAATAAGGTGATCATTGGTCTTTATCGAGCTCTACACTATACTCTAAGGAGGCAAACACAAACTGAAAAGAAATTCAACAAGTTGTTGTCTCGCGTCAATATCTATCTGATCTCTAAAGAAGAGGATAACTTGGACTAGCCTTTGTTGGTGGCAAAAGGTTGAGAGTGATTAAAGTTTTTTGATTATTTACTTTGATAATCTTTTAAATTTTCTGAATGATCTGATTAAATTCTTTAAAATTTTGAACAATTTCATAGCTTTCACTTTTATTTAAAATTACTGACATAGAACAAAGTTTATATTGAATATATTGTGGATGTTTGCCTTAATGACATATGATTTATGAAAGTTATATTCATCAAATCATGCATGTTATTGAGGGGAGTCTCTTATGCATTGCATATAGCCCTTAATAAAGATATATATGCTATGATACCTAAGGTAGAAAATTATGCTCTGATGTGCATGATAAGAAAGAGGAAAAACATGCATGCTATGTTATATATAAAAATTCTTTTGTATGCTCTGAAATGCTAAGACCTATATGCACACTTAGTCTGACATGCTCTAAGAATTAAAATTGAATATCATTCTAGTTGTCCTATTATGATCGCTTAGTTTGTCTGAAACGCTATGTCGAATGATGATAGAACTAAGTGTATGCGAGAAAATTCAAAAAGTATACTCGTAAAAAGTAATTCGCTTGTTGATATAAGCCTTACATTACTCTAATAAAGAAACATTTCCAAATTGCTTTTACTCTTTTTAAGAAAAGTGTCTTGGGTAAAATTGAAAAAGCTTTTCAAGGTTAAAAGGTCAAAACACACTTTTAAGAAAAAATACATTTTGAAAGATGAAAGCATTTCAAAAAGACAAAAGGCTTTTTGTCTTACCAAAACAAAAAAAAATTCTAAGATAAAGAAAAATTGACATTTCAAAAATACAAAAATATGTTTGTCATCATAAAAAAGGGGGGAGATTATTAACTCAAAAAAAGATCTTGGATCCCTCAAATTTTAAAATTTTAATATTAACAAAAAAACATCTTTGCTATTAAAAAAAAAAAAGCAAACAAACAAACAAAACATTTTTATAAAAAAAAATGTCTTTGAAAACATCTTCAAAAATGTTTATCAGTCAAAGTATAAGACGCAAATCATATGTAAGATGATGTGAATCAAACAAAGAATATAGTCTATCTCATATTCATTAAATGTTCATTATTTATTAAGACTAATGATAAGATTAATTTTGAATGTCTTATTCCTTAATAGATGGAACTAGAAAATCATATTGAAACTCACAAATCTATTAAAGAGAACAAGATCATTATTTTCGTCAAGACCAAGGATGAAGATTCCTAAACTCATGAAGAAAAACAAAATAAAGTCACTATTGTGTTGACATTACTTTTACAATAATTGTTTGGTATGCAAAGATGATAAGTAGCTTCCTTGATCAGAAAAGAGATACCATTTAGTGAAATGCATTTAATGTTTACATTAAATGAGTCAACAGTACCTCTAATCTCAAGGAAAGATGTTGAAGACATGAAACAAACGTATGAGCTGGACTCAAAGTGTTGTAATGGTCATCTTCTCCAAGCTACTGTATAAAGATGATTCAAAGCTCAAGAAAGATAGAAAACACAATGACAAAACACATAGATACACTTGTATAGAAACATATACTCTTTGTAAATTATATTTCTGTATAATCTTTATTCTTTCTTGTAAAAAGCTTATTACTTTATACTGGTTGTATAACATCTAAGTGAGATGAACACATTTCTATAACCTTCATAATCATTGTTATAAGGTTGAACTTGAAGAGGCTTATCTGTAAAACAATACTTGTTTGAGTCTAGAGAAGCTTGGTTGAAAAGAATACTTGGTTGTTATGTCTAGAGAGATTTGTTGTTAAAAGAATACTTGGTTAGTTGCTTGAAGAGGTAAATCAAAGAATATTTAGATTGAGTCATAAGTGACTTATTAAAAAAAATAATTATATCTTTATTGAAAGATAGTGAAACTCAATATGATTTGATTGAAAAATAGACATAATTTCAATTACTAAGACAAATCAGTATAAAAATATCAAACATTTTGTCTGACTTCTCTTTATAATCCACATATTTCTTACTTAAAACATTAGCCACTATATTAACTTTACTTAAGTGATAACTCAACTCAAAATCACAATCCTTAAGAAATTTTAACCAGCTCCTCTATCTCTTGCTTAACTTCTTATCAAACAAATAACTAATTCCTTATAACACCTTCCCATTCTTTGAATCACTTCATTTATTCCACCTCCATTACACATGTGTCGAATATCATTTTCATATATTTTGCCAGCAAACCATCTTAGACATTAATCTGAGTACTGAATCACACGAAATTACAACAGGTCAAGTAGCACGAACAACAAAGTTAAAAAAAAAAAAAAAAAAAAAA